AATTACAAATGAAAAACTGCAACACCCCCTCCCCACACACATCCACACATATTCAGGAAGAATTCAATTTATGAATGTATAAATTGTCAAGCTCAGAAAATAAGAAGAGGTTTCAACTCTTTACTAGAATATGCCTAACATATAAGTAAGCCAAAGGGATATAATAGAAGCTACTACATTTTGCATGTACACTATGTACCAGGTACTATACACAAGGCATTGTCTGTAGTTGCCCTCTTATTAATGCTCATAGCAAGCCTACAAGGCAACTGAAAATTATTCCCATTTTACAGATGAGAAAACCAAGGACGGGGCCAGGTTACATACCAGACCCAAGGCTCCAGAGCACTAGCGGAAGAAATGGTGCTCAATACCAAGTCTGTCGGCCTCCAAACTGCCTTATGAAAATCATGAAGGGAATGCATTATGATCATAATAATAACCAACACTTGCCTGGGGTTTTAGAATATGTAAAAAATCTGAATGCTAAAACAGCCTGCTGTGTCACTCTCAGCAACACAGACTGCAGCCCCTGAGGCTGAGGAGGGCTGTCTGATATTCCCATTCCCCTCACCAATACACCACGCTCTGCCAACATTTATGATCGAGGTGACACAGGCCCCAAGACCACGAATCCTGAGGCCCAAACACATGGAGCTGTGGGCAGCAGCAGCGGCCCACCCCCGTCTCCATGACAGATCCTGATCAACTTTCACACTCAGACTAGAAAGCTGTCTCCATGTGGCTACCTCTTAAATATGCCAGTTTTCTGGCTGACACCTTTCTCATCAAAAAGCTTGGTAAGAACATGCGTTTTCTGCCCTATGGGATTCAATAAAACCATTTTCATGTTGAATTCAAATACACAGGGCCTGTAAATGTTCTAATGTTTTCTGAATTGGCTCTTTTGCAAAAATGATCATTCATCACTACTGCAGGCATTCAGATCAAGTCAGAGAAATGTCCAGCATGCCAGAAGCACCCCTGTTCCCCAGTCATTACGCCCCTGGGGTAACCATTATTCCGAACTTCTATCACATAGATGGGTTTTGCCTACCGTTGCCCCTTCTCTATCGGGCCTCTACTTTTCAGCTCTCCCGAGTCCCCACCACTCTCTATTATCTTACATTTGGCCCTGCTTAACTCTTTTGTCTGCATCCTAGGCAAACAAATGTCCAAGGGCAGATGGCTAGAGTCCAGAGTATAGCAAGATGGGCTTTTGCCACCCATCTTGAAAGTAACCACCACGAATACTTAAAGCTGGATATAGGCACAGAAAACGGTTGGTGTGTTAATGATCACTAACAATAGGGCTGGAGAAGGTAGGAGAGCCATCACCCAGCAATAATCACCCAGCAATAACCCATTTGGTCAGTGAATAGTTACTGAGTACCAACTACTCCACTAGTGTGGAGGAAAAAGCAGCAGCCTGTGCCCTGCAAGAGCTTAGTGGCTACAGAGAGGCCAGAGCAACGCAGAATAGTAAGAAACACCAAGGAAGGACCGTGCGTGAGGGAAGCACAGGCTGGAGAGACAGCCCACCCGCACCAGCCATCCCACCTGAGGACTCAGGAGAGCTTCCTGGAGTTGACGACTCCTGAGCAGCATCAGCATCACCCATATCACGCACGCTGGAATTCGGTAGAACCCAATCTGATCCTCACTTCTCTACCAAAGGCAAAGTACTCCTACCCTGAAATAACCTATCCAGTACAGTCTGACTTGTAAACAACCTTGCTCATCTATTAATGGACAAACAAGATTGCCCAGTGCCAAGAGGAACCCAAATCAAGGCTCAAAATAAAATGTTTAAAAAACAACTAAAACTGAATTTGAAAATGAGTTCAAAAGCAATTAGGTCAGTTTGTACAATCATCTTTATGCATTAAAACCTGTGGGTTCAAGAAAACAGTGAGACTTATTAACCTTGTTATATTTTTATTTATTTATTCATTTTGAGAAGGAGTCTCACTCTGTCGTCCAGGCTGGGATGCAGTGGCCTGAGACTGGGCAGATGTTGTCCCGAAAGCAGAAGGAATCAAGTAACTACTCTCCACTTCATCTGCCCCTCCCAGATGGACTGACCCATTGATAATACCTCTCAGGCGTCCTAGAGGCGGAGTGTGTACATCCAGCTTCTGCAAGCCCTGCACCCCTCCACTCACCTCCTATTGGCCCATGCACAGGAATTTTTGTTGGGTTTGGTTTTGTTTGTTTTTTTTTTTTTTAGAGACAGGGTCTCATTATATTGTCCGACATGGAGTATAGTGGCTATATTCACAGACACGATCCTAGCACACTACAGTGCCGAACTCCTGGGCTCAAGCAGCCCTGTTGCCTCAGCCTCCCAAGTAGCTGGGAATACAGGGGTTCGCCACTGCACCTGGTTCCATGTTCAGTTTTGATTGCACACAAAGCTGAATTATTAGTTATTCTAGTCTGTTTAACAGACCCTAAAACAGGCTGGGCATGGTGACTCATCACTGTAATCCCAGCACTTTGGGAGGCCTAGGTGGGTGGATCTTGAGGACAGGAGTTCAAGACCAGCCTGGCCAACATAAGGAAACCTCGTCTCTACTAAAAATACAAAAAAATTAACCAGATGTGGTGGTGGGCACCTATAATCCCAGCTGCTCTGGAAGCTGAGGCAGGAGAACGTATGAACCTGGGAGGCGCAGGTTACAATGAGCCAAGATCGTGTCACTGTACTCCAGCTTGGGCAACAAGAGCGAAACTCCATCTCAAAAACAAAAAAAGACCCTAAAACAGACACTTCTGTGGCATTAGTGTGGTACAACCCGAAGGGGCCAGTGGTGGACTATTAATCCAAACCTAGCAAAACTAGCCAGAGAAAGAAGTTTCCATCTCATTCTCATCTGTGTTCTTCTCCACTGCCCTATACAACACCCTGCACCAAGGAACTATGTAATGCCTCTTAGAGAAGGCACTGTGGACCAGAGCTCAAACTTTACTGAGCACATGAGTCACCCAAGGATCTCATGAAATAACAGATTCTGATTCAGAAGGTCTGGGGTGGGGCCCAAGAGTCTGCATTTCTAACAAGTTCCCAGGTGATGCCAATGCTTAATACCCATAGCCCACACTCAGAGGAGTGAGGTTCCACTAGACCTTCCCCTCCCAGAAGAACGTGCATTTTAAATGAGCACTTCAGGAAGGTTCCCTTTAACATATTTGGTTCAAATAAATGAACCTCAAATGGTGAAACTGCAGGTAAGGTAGCTTATTGGGTGGGAGAGCTGTTCAGGAGGCAACCAGGACTATCTGACATCACGCCTCTCAAATCAAGCCATTTGGTAAGCAGACATGAGGAGCCCAGATGTCTGGAGGTGAGGAAGGCCAAGACAGAGAAGTATATGGGGGCCCAGCACAGATAAGGCCAGGATGCTAGGTCAGGATGCTAGCCTCCCACCCCTCACTGCTGTCCTCCAACAATGCCGGCAGAGCTTCCTGGTTCACACCAGTCGCTTCTGTGTGCCACCTTCCCAGCTCATAGGGTACACCCACCCTCTATCATGAGACGTTAGGCCTTCCTGCCCTCCCAGCCCTAGCAGCCAGAGCCAAGCACTGCTGTTAGCCCAGCCAAGGGATCCCTTCCCAGCTTCTCCTTGGCAGAGTGACATCTAGTGCCCCCATCCCTGTAGGTGCTGACCACAGTGCACCTACCCCTGCAACACGAACCAAGAACCAAGCACTAACTCCAAGCCAGCTCTCCCCACCATGGGCTGACTCATCAACACCACACACCTGGCCCCAACTAGGTTCTACAAGCCCGCCCCGCCCCGCCCCGCCGCCAATAATTCTTTCCTGTGTGAGGGTCTGACTCCCTCAACACACACGCACACACACACACACACACACACACACACACACACACACACTCCTCATGTGTCTCTCTAGCTTATTTCGAAATACAAATTAGGGTGGCGGCACTTGCCAAGGGATTGGAAGGCGAGGTCATTGCCAGCTCTGGTCTGAGAGGGCAAAGGACGCAAAAAAAGAAGGCTCTGCTTTGAATTACTAGGGAGGATGGGGACGTTTGACTACTGAGGAAAGGCTAATTTCCTCCCAGTGGACCGCTGACAGCACTAGGGCTGGGGCTGGGGTCGCAGTGGGGCGGCGGCTGGCACCGGATCTCTGCTGACAGCACGGAGGCAGCCTCTCTAGGTGCCCGCTCCGGGAAAGCCAGGCAAAGTGCCCGCCGGCTGGCGCCGCCACCTCCTTGGAACACGCGGGCTCTGCCCAAGTCCCGGGCTGACCTACGGTGGAGACGCGGGGCAGTGGTGGGAGCCCCTAAGGGCAGCCAGCACGCCTCGTAACGGGCCAACTCCGGGGCCAGAAGGCGAAGCGAGAGCCGCATAAGGCTCCCGGCTCCGCGAGGGGCGCGTCTTCCCACAGCTGGACCGAATTTGGGAGGATGCATTAAGTCCCCTGGGGTCTCCCGCGGGCACAGGGACATGATAAGGGGAGGGGAGATCTACCTGCCTTTAGTTCCCTTCAGCGCCGCTACCCAGCCCGGTAGGGGTGCGCCCCACCCCATCCCCACTGTCCAAATGGGGACCCAGAGCTCAAGAGGGGATGGGATTGGATCTCAACGCCCTCCACTTCCTAAAATCTCCCCACCCCAGACCTGGACCCTCTCCCAAGAGCCGAGAGCAAAGCCCCCGAATGTTCGCGGTCCCAGGACCGGGGATGGGGGATGGGATGCCTGTCCTCCCAAGGCTAACGCGAATGGAATTCGAGTTCCCGGGGAATCAAACTTGCCGCGCGTCGGGCTGGGAACTCGGAGCAGGACGCGGGGCTGGGGCCAGGGGCCCGGGGCCGAAGGAGGCCCCGAGCGCCCGCCGCGGGCGATGGCCGCGCTGGGAACAAGTGGTTCGGCAGCTGCGGTCACCAGCAACTTTCTCGCCGCGCGGCGGGCGAACGGCGAGGGGAAGGCGAGGGAAGCGAGGAGGGAAGGGGCGGTGCGCGGCTCCGGGTACCGTGTGCGTGTGTGCAGCGACGCCGCGCCGCGCCTCGGGCTCTGCTCTCCGCCGGATAGGCCCCCGCGGGCCGCCTTCTCGGGCCCCTGGCAGCCGCCGCGTCTCGCCGCCGGTGCGAAGGCTCATCCGCCGCGTGCCGGCTGCTACCTGGTCCCCTCGGGCCGCCCGCTCGCCGCTCGCCGCTCGCCGCTCGCAACTTCAGGTGCGCCGGGGGCTCGGACGAAGCGCGCCCCAAACGTTCCGAGGCTCGGCCACCCCGCGCTCCATGCCCGAGCCGGGCTGCCCCGCCCCGCCCGGCTCAGCGTCCGGCCGCCGTCGGACTTGTCCTCTGGCGGAGCATCGCGCCCGCAGCCCGCGTCTCTCTCTCTCCCGAGCCGCCGCCGACGCTCAAGTCCACGATCAACTTTCCCTCGCTTCCCCCGCCCCGCTCGGCCCCCGTCGCCCAGACCCCGCCTCCCGCCGCTCCCTCCCTCACCTCCCGCCTCGCCCCGCCCGCGAGCCTGCCCGTGCTCGGCGTTCCCCCACCCCTCGGGCCGCCAGGAGCCCCCCCAGCCCCCGCCCCGGCCCTCCCGGACCCCCGGGATTGGCGCCGATCCCCGCCGGGCGCTCAGGGCATGAATATTTCAGTGCTGGCGAAGCTGCCCTCTGCCGATGTCATGGCACCGGCTGCTGTGGCAACTCCACGAATCCCCCAAAGGGGCAGGGAGGAAGCCCGCGGAATCGGCCCCAGGTGCGAGACAGAGCCTTGCCCTGCGGGGCCGCCCGCCGTCCCGCAGAGGGGCGCACAGGGGATGAGGGCCCGCCCAGCCTCGCGTCCGCCCCGTGCCTCAGGCGGAGCGAGGTAACGCTCCTGGGAAGCCCGGGCCGGTGAGCGGGCGCTCGGCCTAGGTGAGCCCGCGCTATCTGTTGGCTTTAAGCGCCCCCTCTCTGCTCCCAGAGTCGCTGAGCGGTCCCTCTAGTCCTTGGGGCCGCTTAGCCGACGCTTCTCTCCAACCAGCTGCCTTTGCCCACCCCACTCGTACGCTCCCTCCTGGGCCTCCTCCCTTACTCGAGCTCAAGATGCCCCAGGTGCTTAGAAATGGGGGACCCCAGGTTGGAGGAGACCCATGAGGTCACCTAGGCGTCCTCACCCCTGCGGGAGCCCCGCCTGCAGCGCCCGAGTCATGATCTCCCAGCCTGTTTTTGCACATCTGTGGGAACAGAGACTTTATGGCTTTTTGAGATAGGTGGATCCAGGAAGGGTCCATATGTAGGTAATGGAAGAGGTTTATTCCCTACCTTTGATCTTTACTTCCCCGGGGCTAAATGTTGTGATTTTTAAAAACTATTTCTCACATGACAGGATTTCTGGAGCTGTCACTGTTCCAGTCAGTACATTGACAGTACCTGCCCCGAGCCAGGCTCTAGGCTGAGACTTTCTGGGCCTCAACTCTATCTACAACAAAGCCTTTCCGGTTGGTCCTGCCGTTATACCAGTCTTACAGTGAGAAACAGTCTTTAGGAAGAAGCTGGGGACTTGCCCCTGTGCTAGAGTCGGATATTGAACCCAGAATCTATCTGGTTCCAAAGCTCCAGTTCCTTACCATTCACTCATTCATTATTCATTGATTCACAGTCACTGCTATGTGCTAGCCAACTGAAATAGGTTCTGGGGATAGGATGGAGAACAAAACAGGCTTGGTCCTTGTGCCCATGAAGCTCCTGTAGTGGACATTCATCAATGAAACACATGAGCAGGTAAAATTACAGCCAGAATCAGAGCTAGGAAGAAGAGTGCTTTAATGGCACCTGGCCTAGGGGATCAGGGAAAACCTCCTGGTGGAGATGACTGAGCTGAAGGATGAGCAAGGGCGAGAGTGGAGTTTTAGGCAGGAGAAACAGCATGTGCAAAGGGCCCACTTGCCCATTACGGGAAACAGCTGGGCCAGGAACAATGGTTTGGTGCCCGCAATCGAAGTCAAGTTGTGCAAAGGTGGGAAGGAGCTGGCATGTGTTGGAAGTCCAGATAGGACAGGGAGAACTCCGTGCCTCCAGTGAATGAGGAAACGCCCCCAGGAAGCTTGGGGGGGGGGGTGGGTAGGCAGGCATTTGGCCTAGGTGAGCCTGCACCATCTGTTGGCTTTAAGCACCCCCTCTCTGATCCCAGAGTCACTGAGTGGTCCCTCTAGTCCTTGGCAGTGAGTTTAAAGCCACAATAGAGTAGGGGCCAGACTGTGCAGGTGTGTTGGCCTTAATTTATCCTAAGAGTGAAATCTTCAGAGGCTGAGCATGGTGGCTGACGCCTGTAATCACAACATTTTGGGATGCTGAGGCAGTAGGATCACTTGAGGCCAGGAGTTTCAGACCAGGTTTCAGACCTGTAGAAAGACTTTATCTCTATAAAAAATTTAAATATTAGCCAGACATGGTGGCATGAACCTGTAGTCCCAGCTACTCAGGAAGCTGAGGTGGAAGGTTCACCTGAGTGAACCAAAAAGTTGAAGACTACAGTGAGCTGTGCTCATGCCACTGTACCACTCCAGCCTAGGGCACAGAGCAAGACCCTATATCAAGAAAAAAAAAAAAAAAAAAAAAAAGAGTGAAAGCTTTAAAGCAGGTAGTTGGAGTGGAGGGTGAGGGGTTAGGGTGTCATGATTGGATTTATGGTTAGGAAAAATAAGCATTGAGGCCAGGCACAGTGGCTCACTGCCTGTAATCCCAGCACTTTGGGAGGCTGAGGCAGGCGGATCCCTTCAGTTCAGGAGTTTGAGACCAGGCTGGCCAGCATAGCAAATGCCATCTCTACTAAAAAATATGAAAAAATTAGCAGAGTGTGGTGGTGTGCACCTGTAGTCCCAGCTACTCACAAGGCTGAGACAGGAGAATTGCCTGAACCCAGGAGCTGGAGGTGGCAGTGAGCTGAGATCATGCCACTGCACTCCAGCCTGGGCAACAGAGCAAGAGCAAGTCTCTATCAAAAAAAAAAAAAAAAAAAGGAGAGAAAGAGAAAGAGAATTGATTGGGAGGCAACAGTTGACTAGAAGAGACTGCTTCAATTAAAAGTATTTATTCGTCAAACACTATGTGCCAACAAATTTTCTAGACCAGGAGTCAGCACACTGGTACCCACAGGTTAAATCTGCCCCATTACATGTTTTTGTAAAATTTTAGTGGCACACAGACATGGCCTATCCTGGAGTGTCTCCTTTCACACTACAACTATAGGCATAAGGAATTTCAACAGGAACCGTATGGCCTGCAAAAACAAAAATAGTTACAGCTTGCCCTTTACAGAAAAAGTTAGCTAACCCCGTGAATTTAGACACTTAGTATATGTCAATGAGCAACACACACACGTGTGCACACACACGCACACACACATGTGCATGCTTGCCCCAAACGAATCCCTGCCGTGGGGTTGCTTCCATGTCCTCAGGCTGCTGCAGTGTCTAGGTGATTGGTGACAGAGACCTGGAATGAGCGGGTGGGTAGAAGTAGAGAGAAGTGACTTTCAGGAGGCAAAAAGCTCCAGGGCCATGAGAGGGAGTGGTTCTGCGTGAGAAAGCAAAGGGTCAAGGAGACTCCTGGGTTTCTGGCTTGTGGTAGTAGATAGACAGTGTGCTGTTTGCTGTGGTGGGGCCCTCTGAGGAGGTCACTATGGAGACCTGAGCAGGAGCTCCCTTAGGACATGTTGTGTGAGAGGCCTGTGCAGTCACAGAACAGAGATGCCAAGTCGGCTGGACAAATGAACTGGAGCCATGGTCGTACGCGTCTTAGGTCATGCTTTCACACAGGGTGCTGGAGCCAGGAGTCTGGAGAACTGGTATCTGGGTTCTAGATCACCTCTAGCTGGGTGGCGGCAGCACTGGACATGACCTCTCTTGGCCTCGTGTTCCCCCACTCGTGAAATGAAAGCATGAGAAGAGGAGCTCTTCAGGGTTCTCCAACCCTCAAACCTTCTCTTACACTTTGTGCCAAGCACCATGCTGGGAACTGGGGTGTCATTTTGGGTGCGGCCAGCCCACAGAACCACCATGAGTGTGTAACAGACAGGGAATGGAAGGGCTTTGGATGGCGAGGTGACCCAGAGTGCAGCAACAGCAGAGCGTGTGCTGCCCCTAGACTGGAGGGACGAGGGAGGGAGTAGAGTGACCAGGAGCAGGGCACACAGTGGGAGGTGAGACCACAGTGGGCCTGTGTGGTGTGGGCTCGAATCACAGGAACACAGCTGCTGCCAGAGACGGCGGAGTGTGGAGACGCGTCCTGGCTTCTTTCCGCAGCCCTCTCGTCTCCCACCTGAAGCCAGCGGGCCTGGGAGCGTGCAGGGTCAGCCTGCCGTGATGAGGAGCAGCACCACAGAGCGAGGAGAGGATGACCCTGAGGGGGATGGGCCAGGACCACACTCTGGGGATGCAGACGTGAGTGACATCCAGCCTGTCTTCAAGGCACTCCCAGTGGGAGAGAGGGGCAGACAAATCAGTTACAACCTAGCAAGGCAAGTGTGGCAAAATGGACAAGTAGCCCAAGGGAGAGTGGGGTGATTTCTTGTTATGAAATCGTGAGCCCAGAAAGGCTGCCTGGACAAGGGGACGTCAGAGCTGGCTTCTGCTGCGATGATCAGGAGGTCCATAGGCAGCAGAAGCAGAAGGGCCCTCCAGGTGGAGCACCAGCATGCGCAGAGGCCTGGAGGTGGCACAGGAACTCTCCCCGGGGAGCCACGGGAGCTACTGGATCCTGGAGATGAATAGCAGGCTTGCTCCTCTGCACATGAACCAGCCAAAGGCAGGATGATGGCATTTGCAGGAGCCTCAGAGATGGGGAGAAGAACCCAGCCTCTAGCCTGTGAACCAGTATCTCAGAAATTCTAATCTCCTCATTCCAGGAGATGAGCTCCCTGAGTTTTCACCTTCCTGCCTTTCTGGAATTTCCATTCCCAAAACCATGTCAGCTCTGTTTCCCCAACAGCTCTCGAAGTTCTCCCTAGATCCCCTTCCTCAGGAATCATTTGCCTCCTCTCCAAGCCCCTAGGGCATCAAGAAAGGTACACCTGTGTGATAAAGAAGCACCCCTTGCCACCTTATGTCATCTGGACAAGTCGCTGAACCTGTCTGTGCCTTGTTTCCATTTCTGAAAATGAGAGAACGGTGCCTGCCCAGCCTCCTTCCTGGGGTGGATGTGAATGCCCTTGGACAGCCACGAGGAGCCAGAGACGCCAACGTCCCATGACCTAGCATCATCCAAACCCTACTTCTACTGGGGGAGCCCCAGTGTATGAAGTAAGGGGTAGGACCAGGCCCTGCTTTCATTGCAGAAGCTAAAAAGGAAGCTCCTCCTTTGTCCTCCTTCTGCCTGCAGGGCCAGCACATGACCCAGGTGAGCCAGTCAGAAAACTCCACTCTTAACTTTGAACCTCGAGAAGGGT